AAAAAGAAAAGAAAAATATTTTCAGGCAATACTTGTTCATTGTCGACTCTGTGGCTAAGTCGATGCGAATGCTTCGTAATGCAGGGATGCCGGGTTCGATCCCTGCTGCGGGCCCTGCGCCTTGTGTTGGTTTCGACTGTGGTATCAAGAAAGCCGACCGTCAGAGAGCAGTGGCAAACTACTGGACGTAAATTTGCCTAGAAAAACCACACAACAGCCAGGCACCATATTATAGGAAAAACAAGAATAGACCCACTGCCTACCCAAAAGCATGTCGTAAGAGTCGACTAATTGGGAGGAGCTTCCTTCGAAGCCGGAGTGCATCTGCCCGAGAGGCAAGGGACCAACAGCCTGCACACAAATGTGTCAGATATGTCAAAGGGATGCACACGCCACACTTTTGTTTTGGAAGAGGACTGCAGTCCAGAAGTGGACGAACAACCAGAACTTTCCACCAGAGTTAACAGCTGGTAAACGAAAAGAAGAAGAAGAAGATCGAGTGATGAGCCTTCAGGTAGCGACCCGGAGGGGACAGACAGATGGATTGACTGTGACACCTACAACAGAACCATGCGACTGACTTTTAATAGCATAGTAATTCGTGGCAAAAGTTTATCAATCAACTCGGGGTGAGCTTCGCCTCCTGCTGAACAGAAACATTTTGTCGTAAATTTGACATTCAAAATCATTATAATTTAATGATTGAAGCTCTTAAAATTGCATACAAAAATACCACTGGGTTCAGTCAATCAACTGACAGTTATTTTGCATCTAGGTCATCGATAGCATAGTTCATGGTACTAGCCTTCGAGCCTTGAATACCTTACATCACAAACACCCCTTCCCCCCCCTCTCTCTCTCTCCCTCTCTCTCTCTCTCTCTCTCCCTCTCCACCCCCCGGTCTTTCCCCTTTTCCAATTTTATCAAACGCGCCCCACAAGTGGCGGCAAACACATGCAGTAACACGTTTTATAAATATTCTATCATTTAACGGATAATTTTAACGATTATTTCTTATTTCGGGGAGTCGCCGTGGCGGAGCGGATCGGAAAGTCGTGGGTTCGCTCCCTGGCAGAGCCGCACTTTTAAAATAAAACATGACCTTGGCTCCCAGGTCGACCTAGCCATGAGTGGGTACTGGGTGCAGTTCCAGAAAGTAAAGGCGGCCGGCGTGATGCTGACCACATCACCCATATTGTGCCGATTAGTCTATAAAATATAGGTCTAGCCCTATATGCCCTATTCGCTTAAGGGCATAAAAAGGGTCCTTTACCTTTTTTTTTTATTTCCTTTTTCATGGCCTCTTTATTACCCGTTAACATTGGCCTGATACCCAACGGAACATCCACGTTTTCATCGTGAGAACTTCTGTCAGCCGCTCTGGTTGTGGGACTGCTTACATCACACGGTCCCCAGTCTTTGATCAGACCTGGCACTGTAATCGAACTGACAAGCCGATCCACAAATAACTGCCAGAATTTACCTCTTGGTGTGACGTGCAACTTCCTGGTCTGTGATAACGTGTGACTTTTTTGCCGGGTAGATCATAGGCACCCCCATGGAGATGAGTGCTGGTTGAGTCACTCTGTTCTTATCTGAGAACATCTGAGATTTGATCAGAACGTAGCCTCTAGGGGTGAGCAGGTAAGAGTGTAAGCTTGAGGTGGCTATTCAGGCGATATCATCATTATCACCATTATCATTTAGTCATTTACCCTTCATCATTATCACCGAGCTCCACGCCGATTAGCGTCATCGATCCATCGACTCAAATGTCTACTACTTTCTCTCTGTACTTTCTGTATACGATGTCCGCGCCCTCTTTTTCTGGTACATTTTAACAGGATAGTACGTTGGAGTCTTCCGGCGCGAAGACAGGCACATGATATACAAATAATTCATAATATTTAAAGACCTCAAATGGTTCCCCCTTCTGTTTATTTATAGGAATGACGTATACACACCGGAACCTACCAATCAAATACCTTTCTTAAATGTTTGTGTATTCTAGACAAGGCAATAAGGTCTACTGTGTTCGTAAATTGTTGCTGTGATTGTTATTCGACATTTGCTTCGTTAATATAAATTTCTGTAATCTATGGTGCCATTTCAATGGGTTGAAATGAATTCTGTCCGTATTCCATAGTCGTGGATTTCAAGTTGTACGATAGACATGGCCAATGAGACACCTTTTCTTTAGGGGTGCCTAGTTGACCATGTATCTTAGTGCACTTGTATTCATGGCGAGGCGCAGACGCCGTCTGGAGGTGACAGGTTCAATTCCCGTCACGGTAACTATAGCTTTCGATTTTTATGTTGTCTAGTGTGTTCTTCTATCTTTCTACTTCTTTCTATGAGTGCCGTTCACAATACTTTCTGTTACTTGATTAATTCAGGATATACAAAACACCGTGTGTAGGAAGAAGAGTGCGAGTGCGAGTACCGCGTTTCTTCCTGTCGGACTGTGATGTGGACGCCGCTGTGTATAAGACCTGCTGACGCAGAGGAGGTTCGAAATAATTGTAATATAGTTTAAATAGTCCCGGTTCGATAATGACGATAACGAGGGAACAAGGATAGTGGGGTGGATACCTCTTACTTACTTATGACAGAATACAAATCTTATTTCTTTGCTTACCATCGCCTCTCACGTAATTCAAAAGGTATCACGCCTACAACCTCACTTCATTCACAATTGTATTAAATCTACTACCAGATCAAAGCACACTGCCAAATTAAATCTGATCCCAAGATTACAAGAACTGTTCGCAACTCCATCTATTGGTCTCGCCTGCTCTCCTTCAAATAACAAAAGTTATCAGCCCTTAGATCTTTAATTAGTGAATTCCCTTTCATTCTCATTTCGGATCATTTGGTGCCAGCTCTGCCATCGATGCCTGAGACAATCTATCAGTGGTGCAGTATCAAACACACGTTCTCTTCTAAGACCGGTATGATTTGATCGAAAGATTTGTTTGTGTGTTGCCAGGTGAACAGGTGCACCATGGGAGAGTACGCATGTTTTAGTGATGTCAGTTCCGTCTGTTGAAATCGGAAGTAAGATGGCGAGGGTTAGCGGGGTACAGAATCCGAACTGTTGTTTATTTTTCTTTTAAATTATTTTTAAAAAGGTATTTATATTAATGAAGTCATCTTGCACTAGTACGCCTGTGTCAATTATCGAATTTCTCACATTTTAAATTAGTCAAGGCTGTTGGTTGCTGTCTCGTTCACCTGAGATTCGATCTTAAGAGCAACGATAATAACCAATTCCCTTGTTGATGTTAAGTAAGGCAGTTGCTGTCGAATTTTCCTGTCGAATTTCCTACAGTTAATAGATATTAGGTATGGTCGTTAGTGTCTAATTAAAAATAATATATTTTTTTTAACGAATTATCTGGTAATTATCTTGACATGAGAGTAAACGGTGCAGGCAATCTGTCAGCCTAGTTTATGAAATCGTAACCTGGTATATTACTCTCAGGCACACCACTTACCGCGAAGACGAATCCCATGAGAGGCATGACCCCGCACCCCAGTCCAGCATGGTCAACGGGGGGGGGGGGGGGGGGGGGGGGGCGAAGGAGCGGGGGTGCACCCTGGAACTGCATGAAATAAACATTTCAACGAAACGACAAAATGTTTGATTAATCAGCACAGAAAAGTCATCGTCAGACGTTTCACGCTGCTGAGGGGGAGATCAGAGCAGCTATGGATCTGTAAGGAGGATTGCGATGATAATCCTCACTTATCTCTAATCACTAGTGTGCTGAAGTCCAACATTCCAAATCCTGCCTCTGTATTCAGATACCACCTTTCCTGAAGTATAAGACAATCCTTTGTATAAGACGCACCTTGATTTTGTGTATCATCATCATCAGGTGCCTTGCCGACTGGCGTGGGCGATCATGCCTCTCCATAATCCACGATCTCCTGCAGCATGTATCAGTTAGTGTGCCGACACACCTCCATGCCATGCAACAGACTGTCAAGCATCTTCTCTCGTTGTCTTCCTCTATCCCTCCTTCCACAGATCTTTCCTGTGGCCACAACATGTTATATTTTTCGTCTTCTCATAACATAGCCGATTTTGTATATATGAGCAGAAAAAAAATAAAATTACATAAAGTTATTGTACTCACGTTTTGTTCATCATCCTCCTCTTCCTACACCTCCTCTTCCACCACCTCCTCCTCATCATCATCAACATTATCATATGTCAAGTTGATAAGCGTAGGTCATCATGTTTCACCAGCTCACACACGATGACCAGAATCCTGAATCAAGTCAATGTTTTCATCTCGCCCCATCCATCTGTAGAGGCCATCTAGGTATTTATCTATATGCCTTCCTCTTGCTCTCTTTCCATCAATCACGCCAGTTGTTCCAAGTTCTCGAGTCCACTCCTTCTCATAATTCCTCAAAAAACCCAGAAAACTCCTTCCCGTTGTCACAACTCTCATCCAGGTCATTGTTACGCATTTATTTCATCTACTGTAATTTTATATTCCCTCGTACCCCCCCCCCTCCCCGCATCTCCCCCCTTTTTTCAATACGTGTCGCCCCTGAACCGCAATTCCAAAATGAGGCCCTCTGCAGCATGTTTTGTAACAAATAATTTGGTAAAAATTTATTACCATCGTATAAGACTCGACTCAAACTCTTCTTAGGCTATATATATATATATATATAAATATCCAGAAGCCATGAATTGTTAACCCTTTGGCTCGGTATTATGGATATCGCAACCTTTCGGCCTTGATTCTGTAATAGATGCCGTAAATCTGGGAGAAATGTGGCCTTTCTGCCTACCCCCGGGCGTGAACCCGGACCACAAGGAGTTGGTATCCTGCTCGCCGCGCAGTCAGCATTTATCAACTAAGCTAGTGAACGATATATATATATATATATTTATAATTTTGTTATTTAAATAAGTGCGTCCTATACTTGAGAAAATACGACAATGCATAATTCGATGGTTGTTTTGCGTTTTCTTGCAGAGTGAGCTGTCGCAGAACCTGCAAGCGCTCTCAGAGAAAGCCAAATCAGGCACAGAGTTCATCCAACGGTTGAAGAAAATGGCGGACAGCGTCAGCGTAAGTAGAGACCCGGATGTCACAGCAAAGTGTCACGTGTTTGTATCTGTCTTCGTGTACACTTATAAGAGAATGACCTTGCTTAATAAGGAAAGGCAGGACAATGGCGGTTCGGTGACAACCACAATAGGGCGCTCTGCTACAAAGAAAACAATAACATGCTGAGATCCCACCACCCTCAGCATGTTTTTTAAGGGGAAAAAAGGGTTGTGGCATCAGTTATTTAAATGAATAATAGTAATAAACATAATAATAGTAGTAGTAATAGTAGTAGTAGTAGTAGTAATAGTAGTAGTATTAGTAGTAGTAATAGTAGTAGTATTAGTAGTAGTATTAGTAGTAGTAGTAGTAGTAGTAGTAGTAGTAGTAGTAGTAGTAGTAGTAGTAGTAGTAGTATTAGGTAAAAAAGTAAAGTAAATGACCCTTTTCCACGCCTCTAGGCGTATAGGGCATATAGGGCTATACCTATAATTTCTATAGACCAATCGGCACAAGATAGGTGATGTGGTCAGCATCACGCCGGCTGCGTTTTCCTCCCGGGACTGCACCCAGTACCCACTCAAGGCTGGGTCGACCTGAGAGCCAAGGTCATTTTTAAAAAGGTTCAGCTCCGTCAGGGAGCGAACCCACGACCTTCCGATGCGACGCGAGCGTCTAGCCGCTCTGCCACGGGGACTCCCAATAGTAGTAGTAGTAGTAGTAATAGCGTTATTATTATTATTACTATTATTATTATTAGTATTATTATTAATAATATTATTAGTTGTAGTGGGAGTCGCTGTGGCAGAGCGCCTAGACGCTCGCCGCGGATCGGAAAGTCGTGGGTTCGCTCCTTGGCGGAGCCGAGTTTTTTCAAAAATGACCTTGGCTCCTTGGAGCTTTAAGTGGGTACCAGGTACAGTTTTGGGAAGTAAAAGCGGCCGGCGGGATGCTGACCACGTCACCCATCTTGTGCCGTTGGTCTATAAAATATAGGTCTAGCCCTATATGCCCTTCATGCATAAAGGCGTGGAAAAAAGTTTGTTACTGTTTTTTTTTTAAATTAGTAGTAGCAGTATCAGTAACATTTATTATTATTATTTTTATTATTATTATTTTTGCGCAATTAAACAAGCAATCGAGGACTTAACAGCGAGCCCACTGTGACATATAGTGATACAAAATAATGATGATACCAAAGAATTTAAGTGACCTATTTTTATTTTTTTTTTTTTTTTTTTTTTTTTTGGGGGGGGGGGGGGGGGCCTTCCCTGATGTAGCCCTTGACGCTTTCTTGCAGATCTGAAGGTCTTGGGTTCAAATCCACATGACACCGGATTTTTTATTCCAAACATGACCGTGGCTGCCAGGTTGACCCTGCCTTAAATGGGTATCTGGTAAAGTTTTGGGAAGCAAAACGGCCGGCGTCACTGCATCACCTACCGAGGTCTAAATAATATGAGTCTAGCCGTAAATGCCCTATGTGCCACTGACGTGTAGACTGGCCTTTATTTTTACTTTCTTTATTTGTTACCGTTAGATTAAAAAATAAAACTGTTTGTTTTATAGGAGTTGAAGTAACAAACAATTGCACGTGGTTGCCCGTACTTTAGTGGGATCTGTACGAATGGAAGCTGTTAATAGCACCACCTAATTTCTCCCCAGGGCAACTGTGCCGAGTTTGAGAGAACCGTTGTTGCTCAATGCGATGCCTTGATCGATGCCATCAAACAACGAAAGGCCGAGCTGCTAGAGAACGTGGCTGAAGAAAAGTCGATGAAGGTTCGAACCCTAAAGGAGCAGGTCTCAGACTGTACCGCGCTACTACAGCGGACCACTGGTCTACTACAGTTTTGTATAGAGGTGCTGAAGGAAAGTGATGCAACTTCATTTTTACAGGTAAGTTGTATGTCAGCAGTTACGTTTTTTAATGTTATCACGCCTGGCTCGCTAGCAGCGTTGGCCGGGTGACGAACTCCTTGTGGTCAGAGTTCACGCACCGGGTTAGGCAGAAAAGCCACACTTGTCCCAGGTTTACGGTATCTTTCATGGAACCAAGGCCGGATGGTTGCGATATCCATAGTACCGAGCCAAAGGGTTAACAACTCATGGCTTCTGGATACTTAAACAAAAATGTTATCACAATCGGTATCACTGCACATTGGACGTTTCCATGGTGTTCTCAGTCCTCCGATGCAAAAGCCACTTCAAAGTAACTCTACTGATTTTTACCCATTAGGAGCTGTTTATACTGTCTCCGATCGCAGCTTCAAAGGCGGCATAGACGTGCTTCAGTATGATTTACCCCTACGTCACGCAATCCTGTTAGTGCCAGACAATTATCGTTCTCCTCTAACCTAGTCCGTACAGTGTTTGCTCTGTCCATGATTCTTCCCGCATGCGTTGGTGCACTGCTTGCCAGTTTTTCTGCTCGTTCGTTACCCTTCACGCCGGCATATCCAAGTGTGTAGATCCAGGTGATGGAGGTTAGGTGCAGCTTCCCGATGCTTTCTTCTCATTGAGTGCGTGTACTTCAAGTATCTGTTGCCATCATCTGAAGCCTTTTTCTGTCAGCAGTAGAGCATTTTAGATGGGGTGCCTGAGAAAAGCAGCCAACCTAACCATACGAGATCGAGTAAATAATGAAACTATCAGGCACATTGTGGGAACGACACCTTGTACTAGATTCATCGAGAAACAGCAGATCAAGTGGTTTGGCCATCATTGTTAGAATGCAGCAAGATCAAATACCATCACAAGCACTACATCTCAGAAGATCAACTACAAGAGCAAGAGGACGGCCCCGGAAAACATGTATCGACAACATTAAAGACACTATACGCCTTCACGGCATGACAATAGCCAGTGGCAGCCAACGTGCACTGGATCGCAAATTATTCCTCCCCACGACGCTTAACGGCAGAAATGGTTCATGATGATGATGATGAGTACAGCATTTTATATCTTTGGGAGCAAAGAATATCCAGTGCTAGACCTGCTGCTTAAACGATTGAGACTCGGTTAGCGATGTGATCAATTTAACACTGGCCACCTCTGTTTCCTAGAACGAACGAACGAATGAATGAATGAATGAATGAATGAATGAATGAATGAATGAATGAATGAATGAATGAATGAATGAATGAATGAACGAATGGATGAATCAATGAATAAATGAATCGAGAATTGACATCACTGCACTTGAAGCATTGCCACACGTGCTTTGTCTCTCTCTTCAGTATCGAAAGTTTCCTAGAACAGTTTATGGTATCGATACTGATACTGAAAGTCGCAGTGGCATAGTAGCTAGATACTCGCCTGCAGGTCCCAAATTCTTGGGTTCAAATCTGCAGTCCCATATATATATCACTTTAAAACCCTATGAAATTCTGAGTGTTAACAATATTCTTACCTCTAAATAACATAGTACAGTAGAACTTTGGGACACGAACTGAATCGGTTTCATTACTGAGCTCATAGGGTCATAACTTATATCTTAAAACCCATCGAAACACCCCCCCCCCCCCCCCCCATGACACGAATTTCAATAATGTATTCGCTTCAGCCCTCTTACAGTAAAAAAACACGATGCCACGTGTTTCGTTTCGTTGCGGAACACGTGTGGCCTGCTTTTTGGAGTTTTGACGTCAGCGGAAGACGGCTTTACTTCCGACCGTGATGCTACATTCCATTATCATCAAGTGGCTTGATGACCTGCTTTAGTCCCCCTACAGCAGTGTTGGTGCGACTTCATCCATTTAAATGTTATCAATGTTATTCTCGCTTCGTCAGCTCGCATTCTGGATTTGGCCTCTTTTTCTGGGTCAGCAATAAATTCGTATCCAGAGACATTGGTACCTGGCATTGTTTAAAATCCGAATGTGTAGAAAGCATTCGGCTATCGCAGTTCAAATCCCATCATTTGGATCTACACACCTGGGCAAGCAGGAGTAAAAGGCAATGAAAGAGCTGACCAACTGGCAAGTAATGCACCAACGCAAGCACGAAGAGGCTTAGACACAGCTGATATTGTCAATGCTCTATGGGCTTTGTTAGGGGCTGATGATAAACCTTTGACGCTAACAATGTTGTGTGACCCGGGAGTAAAGCTTGGTGAAGCACGACTATGACGTCTTCGAGGTTGAGACAGGAGACACTTTAACCAGCTTTTTGTGGTAACAGTTAATATTGGCACATTGGAGTGACTGCTGCATCAAAGGACTGAGCACTCATGGGAATGCCCAATGTGCAGTGACGTTGTTTATGATAACATAACGCGTATCCTGAGCTTCCACTCTTTCTTCTTCTTTTCCTGTTTCTCGTCTTTTTCTCCTTTCTATGTCTTATCTTCTGCATTCGGATCTCTAGTACATCTTATGAAAACATGGCTGAGTTATAGGTATGGATGATTGCTTGACCAACGCAAAGGTCTCGGTTCCATTCTCGGTTGTACATGATCTTTTCTCGTGGTCTGCCTCTGCCTCTTCTACCCTTGAAGTTTCCGGCCATTGAGATGTTCCCCAATGCCTCTCTTCTCATTACTTGGGTGTATTAAGCGGGTAAAACAGTTGGCTGGTAATTTTCTAGAATTCTCTAGAAGACAAGATCTCGTAATCACCTTCTAACGAGGTTTTTAAATGAGAGAATGAATAGGGAGAAGAGATGGGTTTTTAAATGAGAGAATGCTCAGAGAGAAGAGAGGCTTTTGTGGGAATCTGGATGTAGAGAAATGAGGGAGACGTGTAGAGGCTGGCACGGTGAAATGCAAGACCTCTTCTTGTAAAACTAGGACAGGAGTGTCCCATGATCGATATCTGAATCGTGATAGCAACGCGAGAAGCCATTTCAGCTGGATCCATTTAGGATCAACGAAATCCCTTTACAGGATTAAATGTTGCGGATTAGTCGTTTCCGCAGATTCTGAAACATAATGTATACGTTATCACAGTGGGTCATAAACTGTACTTTACTGGGACCACAAATTCGGATGGGCAGCCTACAGAGTATTTCCCCCCCCCCCAGCCCATATTTTTGTTTAGTTTTCTCCATGCGAATGACCTTGGCTCTCAGGTCCGCACAGCCTTAAATGGGAGCCATATAAAATCCTGGGAAGTGAAGGCGTTCGGCATGATGTTGACCACATCACCCAGGTCTAGCCCTATATGCCCAATACGCATAAAGGCGTAGAAAGGGGTTCTTTTACATATTTTTGTTTATAGAATAACTGACTCACGCTAAGCGACATGCGCACAATCATTACTGACATTACGTCCGATGCTATTTCTCGTACCATATGATGCTGGTAACTATAAATAAATATCTAGAATCTTTCTTTGTCAATTGAGACGAGAAAGAGCATTCTTGAAAGTTATATAAATACTATCTTGATATCATCATCATGATCATCATCATCATTATCATCAGGTGCTTTGCAGACTGTCGTGGGCAATCACGCCTCTCCATAATCCACGATCTCCTGCAGCATGTATCAGTTCGTATGCCGACACACCTTCATGCCATGCAACAAGACTGTCAAGCATCTTCTCTCGTTGTCTTCCTCTATCTCTCCTTCCACAGATCTTTCCAGTGGTCACAACATGTTCTATTTTCCCTCTTCTCTTAACATGGCGAGAAAATGATGACTGTCTCCTCTTGATATACGGAAGTGAATCATGGACAGTTGGTAGGTTGGTGAACACTTATTTGCAAGGTGTAGAGATGGGGTTTTATAGAGGAGTTATGAGAAAACCCTGGACCGATAAAATGAGCAATGAGGACGTCTTGAGAGAAACTGACTCATGAAGAGAACTGACTGCGCACACCAGGGGGAGACAATCTACATTCTTTGGTCATGTGATGAGAAGGAGAAAACTGGAGTACATCGTGACGGTAGGAAAGCTGGAGGGGAGGACAGGGAAAGGGTGATCGAGAGAAAAGATACTAAACAGTTTGACATCATGGCATGGACAATCAAATGTGTCAGAGTTGATTGAAAATATACCAGACAGAAGGTTGTGGATAAGACATGACTACCATCGCGACACGGCGTGGACTTTGAGAAGAAGGTCTAGAATGTCTAGGCGTGGAACCAGTAAGTCAAAGGAATAAAGTAAAGTACAAGTAAAAAACCCTTTTCCACGCCTTTCAGTCGTATTGGGTGTATAGGGCTAGATCTATATTTTATAGACCAATTAGCACTTGGTGGGTAATGTTGCCAGCATCACGCGGAACGTCTTTACTTCCCATAATTACATATGGTACCCTCTTAAGGCTAGGTCGACCAGGAAACCGAGAAAAATTTTAAAGAAAAGGTCGGCTCCCGTCAGGAACTGAACCCACGACCTTTCGAATCGCAGGCGAGCGTCTAGCCACTAGATCAGGGCGGAACTCAAGGGATTAAAGATAAATAATAAAGTATAAACACAGTGATGGTTATCAGATAACGTGTATCCCACATACAAGCAATCATTCTCCGCACACCCGTACTTCTTTGCCAAGTCTCGGTTTCAAGTCTTTGCCAAGTCTCGGTGGCAAGTCTTTCCCAAATCTCGGTGGCAAGTCTTTGCCAAGTCTCGGTGGCAAGTCGTTGCCAAGTCTCTGTGGCAAGTCTTTCCCAAATCTCGATGGCAAGTCTTTGCGAAGTCTCGGTTTCAAGTCTTTGCCAAATCTCGGTGGCAAGTTTTTCCCAAATCTCGGTGGCAAGTCTTTCCCCAATCTCGGTGGCAAGTCTTTCCCAAATCTTGGTGGTAAGTCTTTGCGAAGTCTCGGTGGCAAGTCTTTGCCAAGTCTCTGTGGCAAGTCTTTCCCAAGTCTCGGTGGTAAGTCTTTGCCAAGTCTCTGTGGCAAGTCTTTCCCAAGTCTCGGTGGCAAGTCTTTGCCAAGTCTTGGTGTCAAGTCTT